AATTGAAGATACTCGAAAAATAGTCAGTTTTAGGTAAAAATAGTCTTTTTACCTAACATCTCGCCCAATAAAGTTCATTGGTAGCGTTTGGCCTTTGGGTTCACTTGGAAATGTCGTACAGAGCGTCGAACTCTGTCGGTGCAGCGTGTTGCTCTCAGGTTGGATTCCAGTGGTTCGGCTAGCTTGGGTACTGGAAGAGCGAACGTGTCGGTCAGTACATCCACTGGAATTGAGATCGATGTTGGGGTGCGCTTGCGGCTTTGTTCATGTCTGGGCCGGAGTTGATTTTGATGTCGGACCCATGTCTCGCTTCCGACCTTCAAGTCGTACAGCCTGCTACCGCAACACTTCAGTATTGTGCCTTGCGCCCACTGGGGGTGATCAGCACGGTAATCGCGTGCGTAGACACAGGATCCATTGGCGAAGGCACACTTGGGGGCTGACGACTGATGAACACTAGTGGCCGATGGAATCATGGCTGCATGGACGGTTCTCAGTTTCCGACCCATTAGCAGTTCTGCCGGCGAAACTCCTCCAGGTGCCGATGGATTTGGAGTTGTACGGTACAGAAGCAGAAATTGGCTGAGGCACCCATCACTGGTCCCCTCCCCGTGCGACTTTTGAAGTGTGCTTTTGAACGTGTCCACGAACCTTTCCGCTTGTCCGTTGGACTGTGGATGGTACGGCGGTGAGTGTAACTGCCGGATTTGCAAGCGGTTGCAGAAGTCGCGGAACTGAGCCGAGGTGAGTTGTGATCCGTTATCGGACACTACTTCTACAGGAAGGCCGTGTTGAGCAAAGATTCGCTGGAGCGTGGCTATGGTAGTGGACGAAGTGGCGGTCTTCATAGGAATCATTTTCAGCCATTTGGAGTATGCATCGACGACGATGAGGTAGTAAATCCCGTTGATTGGCCCAGCGGAATCGATGTGCAGCCGAGACCATGGTGTCTCTGATCTAGGCCATGGCAAAGGTGACTGTCGAGCTGGAAGTTTTGCAGCTTCTTGGCAGCGAGAGCATTGGTTCACAGTCTGCTCTGTGTCGGCGTCCATTGCGGGCCAGTATGCATAGCTGCGGGCGAGTGCCTTCATTCTGGATATGCCAGGATGTCCGGAGTGGAATTGGCGAAGGACGGCTCGGCAAGGGACGCAGGGACAACCACACGGTCGGAACACATGACACACCCGTTGACGACGGACAGGGAATGACGGCGTCGGAAGAAATGCGTGAGATCTCCAGCATTGCTCTTCTGTGACCAGGAGGTGTTGATGAACTTCATCACCTTTTGGAGTACGGAGTCTCGCTTGGTTGCATCACGTATATCGGAGGCAGTGACTGGAATGCCTCTGATGCTATCTGCCAGTTGACGTTGGACGTCCTCCTCGACTTGGACGACTGCGATCACGTTGTCTTCATCACCCGTTTGGTGGGTTCCGATGAGGCGAGACAATCCGTCTGCTTGTCCGAAGTCTGCTATGCGGCGGTACTGGATATCGAAATCATAACCCAGTAGTATGGTAGCCCAACGTTACATTCGGCTGGCGGAGTATGCTGGAATGCCTTTCTTTGACCCGAATATGGTCAGTAAGGGCTTGTGGTCCGTGAGAAGTGTGAAACGTCTGCCGTACAAGAACTTGTGGAACTTTTTCACGGCGAACACGATGGCTAGCGCTTCTTTCTCCACTTGTCCATAGTTTTGTCTCAGCTGCCGATAGCGTGCGAGATGCATGAGCAATCGCCTTGGCGGATCCATCTGGGAACGTATGGGAGATGACGGCTCCGACGCCAAATTGGGATGTATCGTCAGCGACTGTAATTGGTAGGCTTGGGTCGTAATGCGTAACCAGTGGTTTC